AAAACAATTATTATAAATAAGTAATAAAACAGTAAAGAATATTAAATAAGTAAAAAGTGAAATTATTTATTTATGTAATCAGGTAAATCCCATTGAGATCATTTTCAAGAGAGATCAAACAAACAATAATACATTCACAATATCAATGGAGATTATTACAATAATATAAGAAAATTAATAATCAGAAAAATATGAAAAGTAACAAAATAGAATAAAAGTACTAATACCACACCGTATAAATACTCTGTTAGAAGTAAAAGTCCAGTAATGAAAATGTTGATATTGTAAAGTAACTAAAGCTGTCACATACATGTAGTAGAAGTCAGCTATAAAGTGAATAAAGTATTTGGTATTAAGTATTTTGATGAGCAATTTATTGTTTCAGTAATTATTCTACCAAAAATAAAAAACAATCGTCCTCTAATTCTGTCTTTCAGGATTTGCTGATTTTTCTGTTTTATTTCATTATAAATTGTAAATTTCTTCAGATTTTAAACCTTTAAAAACATTTAGAAAGACAAAACAAAACATTGAACATTTCCTCTTGTGCTCTAAGACATTTTGCAACATTTCTTGACATTTTTCGACAAAATTACCTGATTTATCTTGTGAATAATTGACAAATTAATAGATTATAAAATGAAATACTAGTTAGTGTCTCCAAAGTAAAAAATATATTAATATAAATAATAATTCAATAAACCAAATGTTTTATGCATATACAAAAATATTATAAATAAATGTGATGTAAAATTATTAAATAAATCAAAATATTGTGTTTAATAATATCATTTATATTGTGTTTAATGGACTTCCTGTAGTAGCCTGCGCATACCCGCGTGCGCACGCACACCAGTCACTGCGTGCGTGTGCGCGTACAACCCACACTCTGTCCAGGTTTCCTCGTGAACGCGCATGGCCGTCAGCCGCTGTCACACAGACAGGAGCGTGCAGGTAGGTCAAATCAGAGTGTTGACAGGAGGACGACCGGAAACGAGGAGAGTGTGACTTCAAAATAAAAGCGGATAATTTGTGGGACACACGAAATGTCTCAGAACCAGAATCCGGTATTATGGATCTAAATATTTATATTTATACATGTATTATATTTATACATTATATATTTTTACATTTTGTTTTATATATATTAAATACAAACATAAAAAATACATAATATATAAACATAATACATATATATATCAATATATATATATATTGATATAATACATCTTATACATTCTATCTTATTATTTATATGATCATCCAATGGCTTTTATTTCCCATCCTATACTATTCATTTTATGGTTTGTTTTATCATTGTTATTTATATTTTATTAACACGCAGGTGGTTTCTTCCATTTAGTTTCATATTAATTATATTATTCTATATTCCCGTCTTTATGTTCATATTTTACTTTTATCTAAAGCAGTGCATGTACTCTATTTGTTATGATGTACTTTGATTAAAACAAAATAGAAAAAAATAAACCTTTGCATTTATATTTCTTTAACATGTTTGATGTTTGGTCCCTTACTAAAAATGTAACATTTATTTTAATTTTTTTAAGTGCCATCCGGAAGTCGACGCTCTCTTATTGTGAAAAGCCTGACAGATCCGGAGCATCCTGACGTCTTCTCGGAGCACAAAGTGAAAAACGCATCTCGGTGAGATGCTGCTTCAGAGCCCTCACGGATCCAGCAGGGCGGGCTTCTGTCTCCTCTGACTCCTCCAGGGAACGCTTTCTATTAATAACTGTTTGATTCTCTTCCGGCTCCTTTATTTTTTAATTTGCACTGAGATCTCTTTTCTTTTGTGTGTGTGTGTGTCCGATGGCCACCACCGTCCCCAGCATCAGCACCACCACCTCCACCGGAGGGCCGTCGGGCCAGCCAGGACGGCCGGGATTCAACCAGCACACCTAGCAGGTCGCTCCACTGTCAGTATTTATTTTATTTAAATATATTTCTATATTATAAATGACACTTAAACACACCGAGCTGCATGCAGAAGAGGCTCCTCCCACATGCTCACTTTTGGAGGATGCTCTGGTATCTTTGCCTCCTTGTGAGGACATTAGGAGCTACATATCATCAGGGTGACTTTTATCATTAAACTGACTGTGTGTGTGTGTGTGTGTGTGTGTGTGTGTGTGTGTGTGGATATTTAGGTCCATCTAAGAGGCTCTATGTTGGATTTAAACATTCCTCAAACATTAAGAACAATGAGAGCAGCATCTGATTGATTTAGTGTTTGGAAGCTCTGTGGTTGTCTCTCAGTGGACAGATTGGAAAACATCTGACACAGTTAATGTGGCCGGCAGATGGGAGGGGGGGGGGGGGATAACCTTTATTGATCCCACTCGTTAACATCAGGAACAGCAGCAGGTGTGTGTGTGTGTGTGTGAACATAGAGATACACAAGTAAAATACATAATACTCAATATAGTCTATATTATGTCCCACATGTAGAATTAAGCATGAAATAAAAACAGGTAATACACCAAACATTACGTGTCATTTCAACGTGTTTGGAAGACTAACGCTGAAATTATAATAAATAAATAAATAAATAAAAGCCTCAATTATCAAATACATTTGCAGGTTTATTTGAAATTAAATACATATTCACAGAAATAGAAAAAAAATAATAAATAAAATATATTTATTTATTCGACAAATTATATATTGTTGTATTTATTTTCTATATTAGAAAATATTATTTTCTTTTTACATTTATTTGTTTTTATTAATTTCCCACATTTATTTATTTGTGTTTTAATTTATTTCTGTATTTCTTCACCCGCATGTTTTATTATTATTTTTCTATTACTGTGGATATTTGACATGTTTATATTAATGTCAGTACAATATGTACCTCTAAGATGTAGTACAGCAGAAGTATAAAGTAGGATACAATGAAAATACCTGCAGTGAAACCTACTGAACTCAGGTTTTAGTCTCTGGTTACTTTATTCGTCTGTGTTGTTGTATTTTACGCTCTTTAAAAAAAAAAAAACATAAACACAAGTTCAAGAAAAATACTATAATCTGCCAATAAAACACAAATCATGTGTACGTTTTTGGCTCCTTCCTGGTTAAAAACACACAAACCTTGTACTCATATTTCTCTCTCTCCACATCAGACCCAGCTGCCTTAACTGACCTTTGAAGAACAACAGGACTCTTCTTCATCTTCATCATCATGAGGCATCAGAGAGTCCACTGATCGAACCAGAATCCTAAAGATGACAGAGAGCCGGAGGAGGAGGGAGCCGAGAGACGCAGGACGGCAACAAAACTAGGACAAAAAGGATGTGAATGTGACTTTTTTATCTTAATGCTGTTCATTAAACCAAACGTCCCCGAAACAAACTCAACATTTCAATCCAGCTGTAAAAAACAACAACGTTCAGCTTCCTCAGAAAACCAGCGATGTGATTGGAAGACAGCAGCGACGATTGTTGATTCACGATTATTAGCATCCAACACGACCACGATTGTCTCCTACTGACTTTTATTTTGTAAATATGGAGTTTTAAAATTAAAAGACAGCAAATAAGATTGTGTCAACCAAATCAACAACGAAGCCACAAGATTGTACATCTCAAACCAAACCGTGCGTTGGATAGAAACGAGCCGATCTAAGGGACTACAGTTCGGAAACAGAGGACACACATTTTTTTGGACGTCGGGAATCGAACTCATGATGACTCACCTCCACGCCGGCCTGAACTCGGAGACGACGGAGAAGGCTCGCTTAGAGCTCAACGAGAACCCCGACACGCTGCACCAGGACATCCAGCAGGTAGGCGGCTAACGCTAGCTAACGTTAGCATGCTAACGGTAACTGTCACTAGTAAAAAGTACAATACCTCCCTCTGAGATGTAGTACAGTAAAAAGTACAATATGTACTTCTAAGATGTAGTACAGTAAGAAGTACAATAGAGCTCAACGAGACACGCTGCACCAGGACATCCAGCAGGTAGGCGGCTGATGCTAGCTAACAACGTTAGCATGCTAACGGTAACTGTTGACACTCGTCCTACTGACCAAGGTCCCCGTAAACCACAAAGGTCTACTTTCTGTCATAACTCACGGGTGCTTTAGTCGGACTCTCCTATATTTCATGACTTTTTAAATCAATTTGTTCCTCATAACTTCACATAATTGTTTTCTCTTTATGACTTAATTAGGGCTTTCAAAAAATACCAATCAGTTAAAAGCATCCAATTACAGCCGAAAATGACCAATTAATCAAAGGACAAAAAGTCTCTAACTTTGTCTACTGATCGGAGGACACTCCCGATCACTGTGATTGATCCGTGTTGTCTCTGATCGGAGGACGCTCCCGATCACTGTGATTGATCCGTGTTGTCTCTGATCGGAGGACGCTCCCGATCACTGTGATTGATCCGTGTTTCTGATCGGAGGACGCTCCCGACCACTGTGATTGATCCGTGTTTTCTTTGATCGGAGGTGCGGGACATGATCGTTACACGGCCCGACATCGGTTTCCTGCGGACGGACGACGACTTCATCCTCCGCTTCCTGAGAGCCAGGAAGTTCAACCAGACGGAGACCTTCAGGCTGCTGGCCCAGTACTTCCAGTTCAGACAGCAGAACCTCGACATGTTCCAGAGCTTCAAGGTCAGGGTTCAAAGAGACAGGAGGGATCACAGATGTGTCCTTGTCAAGAGTCCTTTTCCTCTGAAGGCTTCAGTTCCTTCAGTTTGACTGAAACACATCACAGAAGTTCAGAGACATGAGACCTTTTTCTGTCAGAATCCAACAGTACGGTCCATGACTCCTTTCCTCTCCTTGTTTGCTCTCCTCTCCTCTCCTTGTTTCCTCTCCCATTTCTGTTCCTCTATTTGTGTCCCCTCGTCTTCTCTCGTATCCTCTCGTTGTTTGCTTTCCCCTCCTTTTTCATATCCTCTCCTATTTCCTTCCATGTTACCTCTGCTCTCTGTCTCCTCTTCTCTCCTGTTTCCTTTCCTTTGTCCTCCTTGTTTCCTCTCATCTTCTTGTATCTGCTCGCTTTTTTCCTCTAATCTTGTCTCCTTGTTTCCTCTCCTGTTTTATTTCCTCCCCTTGTTTCCTCTCATCTTGTCTCGTCCTACCCGATTTCCTTCCTTGTTTCCTCTCCGTCTCCTCTTCTTTCCTCTCCTGTTTCCTTTTCTTTGCCCTCCTTGTTTCCTCTCGTCTTCTTTCGTATCCTCTCCTTTTTCGTCTCCTGTTTCTTTTCCTTGACTTGTTTCCTCTCATCTTGTCTCGTCTCCTTGTTTCCTTTCCTGTTGTCTCCCCTCCCCTTTCCTCTGGTCTTGTCTCATCTCCTCTTCTTGTTGCGTTTCGTCTCCTTGTTCCTACTCCTGTTTCCTTTATGCTCCTTGTTTCATTTCTTTAACTAAAAGTAGCTGACGTAGTTAACCCTACACCAGATTGAGATTATTTCCTTGTTTCCTTTCCTTAAATAGACACACAGTAAACTGTCCTCTATTGTTTCCTTGTTGCCTTGCTTCCTTGTCTCAGGTGGACGACTCCGGCATCAAACGGGCGTTGATGGACGGATTCCCCGGCGTGTTGGAGACTCCAGACCAACATGGCCGAAAAATACTCATTCTGTTCGCCTCCAACTGGGACCAGAGCAGGTAACACACACACACACACACACACACACACACACACACACACACACACACTATTGATTGAGAACACAAAGAGCTTAATGAGTCGTTTCTGGATCAGTGTTTATTTAAGACCTGCAGCGTCACGCTCGCTTTAACTATTGATGAGCTGTTGATCCATGTGTGTTCCTGATCTCCTCCTCTTCCTCCTCTTCCTCCTCCTCGATCAGGAACTCCTTCACAGACATCCTGCGGGCGATCCTTCTCTCTCTGGAGGTTCTGATTGAGAACCCTGAGCTCCAGATCAACGGTTTCGTCCTCATCATCGACTGGAGCAACTTCTCCTTCAAACAGGCCTCCAAGCTCACGCCCAACATCCTCAAGCTGGCCATCGAGGGCCTTCAGGTAACACACACCTGATCAATACTGTCACCTGTAATCACTTCCTGTCAATCACTGGATCCTTTCATTTCTTCCAAAAATCAATAAAACTGAACTGATTACAGACTTTTTACATTTTATATTCTCCTCTCCTGTTTCCTTTCCCCTCGTCTTGTCTCCTCTCCTTCCTCTCTTTTCCTTGTTTCCATCCTTTTTTCTCCCCCCCTCATCTCCTGTTATCCTCGTTTCCTCTGTCCTCCTTGTCTCCTCCCCTTTCATCTCCTCGGTTCTCCTCCTCCCCTCTGTCCTCCTTGTCTCCTCCCGTCTTTGCTCCTCTCCTCGTCTCCTCGTCTCCTCCCCTCTAGGACAGTTTCCCAGCCCGGTTTGGAGGGATCCACTTTGTGAACCAGCCGTGGTACATTCACGCCATGTACACCATCATCAAACCTTTCCTCAAAGACAAGACCAGGAAACGGGTGAAGACTAGTTTCCTCTTTTCTTCTTCTGTCGTTTATGAACTTCCTTCTTCTTCTTCTTTTTACGTTTCATTGTTTCCTTTGTTCTCTTTTGATTAACACGCTCCTCCCTTCTTTTCCTCACCTCCTTTTTTCATCCTCGCTGTTTCCTCTACTCACTCCTCCTCGTCTCCTCCCTCCTCTGATTGTCTCCTCTCCTCTCCTTCTTCCTCTATTCTCTTCCTCTCCTCATTTCCTCTCCTTGTCTCTTATCTTTCTTTCTCTCCTTCCCTCTCCTTGCTTCCTCTTCTCGTCCTCTCCTTGTTTCTTATCTTTCTTCCTCCTCTCCTCTCCTCTCCTCCTCCTCTCTCCTCCCCACCTCTCTCCTCTCCCTTCCTCCCCTCTCTTCCTCTCTCTTCTCCTCCCCTCTCCCTCCCCACCTCTCTCCTCTCTCCTCCCCTCTCTTCCTCTCTCCTCTCCTCCTCCTCTCTCCTCCCCACCTCTCTCCTCTCTCCTCCCCTCTCTTCCTCTCTCTTCTCCTCCCCTCTCCCTCCCCTCTCTCCCTCCCCCTCTCCTCCTCTCCTCCTCATCTCTCCTCCTCCCTCCTCTCCTCTCCTCCTCCTCTCTCCTCCCCACCTCTCTCCTCTCCCTTCCTCCTCTCGTCCTCTCTCCTCTCTCCTCCCCTCTCTTCCTCTCCCTCTCCTCTCCTCCTCCTCCTCTCTCCTCCTCCCTCCTCTCCTCTCCTCCTCCTCTCTCCTCCCCACCTCTCTCCTCTCCCTTCCTCCTCTTCTCCCCTCTCCTCCCCTCTCTCCCTCCCCCTCTCCTGTCCTCCTCAGATCTTCCTGCATGGTAACAACCTGAACTCGCTCCACCAGCTCCTCCAGCCCGAGTGTCTCCCCTCAGAGTTTGGAGGAACTCTCCCTCCGTACGATATGGGGATCTGGGCCCGGACGCTGCTCGGACCGGATTACAGCGACGAGACGGAGTACACGCTGACCTACGACGCTCTGCACGTCAGGGAGGGAGGAGGAGGAGGAGGAGACAAGGAGCTGATGAAGAGGTGAGGAGGAGGGGGGGAGGAGGGGAAGGGGGAAGGGGGGAGACAAGGAGCTGATGAAGAGGTGAGGAGGAATTTGACAGTGATTTGCCTTCATACATAGTGTACTTTCTACTATATTTTTGTATTACTCTCATAAGTATTACTCATAAATATTACTCATTAGTATTACTCATAAGTATTACTCATTAGTATTACTCATAAGTATTACTCAT